TACATCATAACCTCAGTTTTTATGTCATAGCCTCAGATTTTACGCCATAACCTCAGATTTTTTTGATGCATCAGTTTTATAAGAGTTAGTAATTCATGGATCACAAAAAAACAATTTTGTTTCTCGTGATATTTATCCACATTTTTCATTTAAGTTAGTAATTTTTTGGGTAATCCCGACATCTTATTTCACTTCACAGCTGAAAATCTAAACAGTAAACTACAATATTGAGAAGAGATTAAATGACTTCTAAAACATTTCCCTAAACAAATCACTTGTAGGATTTTTCTACTCATTTTGCTGTTAATAACCAAGTAAATACGCTTTTAAACATTGAAATTCTTCAGTTAATTGTGAGTGATATTTAGAAACGTAATAAGTTTGTAGCCAGGGTGGGAAAATGGGCCTTGGTAACCACTAAAATTTAACTAATACTTACTGAGGGTAAGTATTATTAGGCTTGGAACTTTGTAACGTTCTTGAACTAACTGCTAGAAGGAAGGTTAAATGTGCATCGTTATGTCATAGAAACCCGTGTACTTCTCTCCGAGTTTTGGCGTATTTTGTAGATGTTCTGAATAATTAATCGATAAGATATGTACTTTATATAAAAACAAATCACAAAGTGAACTGATTCTTCAAGAAGTTTGAATATGAGGATAATGTTTTCTGAATATCAAGTGCTTGTTTGATAGCAAAGTTTGTTATAATTATGAAGGAACCAAGATTTTACCCAAGAAATCAATATTCTTTAAAAGGAAGCACCATTAGTTTCTTCTGAAAACTTACATCGGTCCTTGGCTTATAAATCTAATAAAGAGAGAACGTAACATGTCCTAAGCTTGTAAATCTAATAAAGAGAGAACGTAACATGTCCTTAGCTTGTAAATCTAATAAAGAGAGAACACAACATGTCCTTAGTTTGTAAGTCTAATAGAGAACGTAACATGTCCTGAGCTTGTAAATCTAATAGAGAGAACGTAACATGTCCTTAGCTTGTAAGTTTAATAGAGAGAACGTAACATGTCCTTAGCTTGTAAGTTTAATAGAGAGAACACAACATGTCCTTAGCTTGTAAATCTAATAAAGAGAGAAGGTAACATGTCCTTAGCTTGTAAATCTAATAGAGAGAGAACGTAACATGTCCTTAGCTTGTAAGTCTAATAGAGAGAACACAACATGTCCTTAGCTTGTAAATCTAATAGAGAGAACGTAACATGTTCTTAGCTTGTAAATCTAATAAAGAGAGAACACAACATGTCCTTAGCTTGTAAGTCTAATAGAGAGAACGTAACATGTTCTTAGCTTGTAAATCTAATAAAGAGAGAACACAACATGTCCTTAGCTTGTAAACCTAATAAAGAGAGAACGTAACATGTCCTTAGCTTGTAAATCTAATACAGAGAACGTAACATGTTCTTAGCTTGTAAATCTAATAGAGAGAACGTAACATGTCCTTAGCTTGTAAGTCTAATAAAGAGAGAACGTAACATGTTCTTAGCTTGTAAGTCTAATGTTCTCTCTGTAACATGTCCTTAGCTTGTAAGTTTAATAGAGAGAACACAACATGTCATTAGCTTGTAAATCTAATAAAGAG